GGCAGGTCCAGCCCAACGCCCACCACCCCCATCCCCCATCCCCCACTCCCTGCCCACCTGCCCGCCCCGCCATGGCAGAGGGTGGGAGGGGACGGCTCCGGGCCAGTGGGCATGACGACCGAGGCCATCCACAGATCAGCAGAGCTTTCCAGAAGCAGGGCGGGGGCCTCGTTTCAGCTGAGACCTTATTTTTTTTTTTCAAGAGACAGAGATCTCGGCGTCTGTTGCCCGGCGTAGAGTGAGTGCCGTTGGCGTCAGCCTCGACTCACAGCAACTCAAACTCCTGGCTCAAGCAGCATCCTCCTGCCTCAGCTCTCGCAGTAGCTGGGACTACAGGCATGCGCCACCGAGATGGCCGGCCTAATTTCTGTGTCTCGGTAGTATAGGTTGTTAGTGTCCAGCTGGATTGGTTTTGGGTAGTCTCGGCTCAATAAACGGCACGGACGATTACAAAGACGAGGAGGACGCACGTGGACGTTTTAGCAGGTGGGGGCGGCAGTGGGTGTCCCGGCCGGGTGACGCTGCCTGTCCGGGCTGAGAGAGATCAGAGGAGCCGGAGCCCCAAGGGAAAGATCCGGAAGGTTCCGCCGGTCGGTCGGCACAGGGAGGATTCCCCCGACCGTGCAGGGAGCTTCTCCGGGGGCAGAGGTGACAGGCAGGGCTGGCGTGGGGGCCGGGGGGCCGTCAAGAAAAGGACAGACCTGAGAGACGTCCCAAAGGTGTAACGAAATCACTTGGCCCGGGCGTGGGAGAGACGTGGTCCCCCCTCTCTGGGCCACCGTGGAGGGAGAGGGAGCCGCCAGGTGTGTGGCAGGTGTTTGCACGGGGCCAGGCTGGTGACGGAAACCACACGCCTCGTGTGGACGTCCTGAGGTTCCCTGGTGTCACCGCGACGGGAGCCCACGGAGACAAAGGACCCCGTCGTCTGGAACGAGAGGGCCCCGAGCCTCGGGGACCCCGACACTCAGGGGTTTGGCAAAGACGGAAGCCGGCAGGTGCACAGGCAGGTGAGGCAGCGGCGGTCACCGGGGCTGGAGGAGAGACAGAGGCAGGGAGAAGAGCTCTCAGACGAGCAGGGAGTGCCCAGCGGACAGGAAGGTCAGGATGGGGCTGGACGGTGCACTTGAACTTGAGAAACCCCCCCCCCAGGCACCGAGGCAGCCCGGCTCAGCGGAGGGGCAGGTGGGAGCCGGGCTGAGAGACCGGCAGGCGGGGGACAGACACAGGGGACAGGGACGCAGTCATCTGGCATCAGGAAGGGGAGGAGAGAGGCAGGTGCAGGGAGGTCGGGATGGGGCTGGACGGTGCACTTGAACTTGAGAGCCCCCCCCCGAGGCACCGAGGTAGTTCCACTTAGCGGAGGGGCAGGTGGGAGCCGGGCTGAGGGACCGGCAGGTGGGGGACAGACACAGGGGACAGGGGCGCAGTCATCTGGCATCGGGAGGGAGGAGAGAGGCGGGTGCAGGGAGGTCGGGAATGAGACGAGCGCTCCATCCTCTGCAGCCCCGGACACTCCAGCCCAGAGCAAGGCGCCCGGCGGGCGGCACAGGGACCTAAAGCTCGGGGTCCGGCTGCTGCTTCCCGTGTGGAGCCTGGCTTCCTCGTCTGGTAAAGGGACAGGAATTCCAGACACGGGGCTGCCATGCCCCGTGGGCCCCACCCCACGGCGTGCCCCACCCCTGCTGAGCGCGCACGCCGCTCTCCCCTGCTCCCGTGCAAACGCCTTTCTCCCAGCCCCACCAGCCTCGGCTCTGTCTGGGCGCCAGGCACAGGCCAGAGGGTGACTCGAACCCGGGACAGAAGAAAAAAAAAGGCCAGACTCAGAGAGACAACCTGTCCTCAGCCAAACCTGAAACAGACAGGAAGCTCGGGGGAGTCTGGGAAAACCCACTGCGGACAGAGGACGCGAGTGTCCCACAAGGGAGGCCCCCAGTCCTGTCGCCACACAG